ATCTCACTGATATGTGGAATTTGAGATACTAGCTTTTTTTTTTTTTTTAAGATTTTATTTATTTACTTGACAGAGAGAGAGACAGAAGAGCACAAGCAGAGGGAGTGGCAGAGGGAGAGGGAGAAGCAGGCTCTGCACTGAGCAGGGAGCCCGATGCGGGACTCGATCCCAGGACCCTGAGATCATGACCTGAGCCGAAGGCAGATGCTCAACCATCTGAGCCACCCAGGCGCCCCGAGATACTAGCTTTTATAATTGCCCATGTATTTAGTATTTATCTTCAGTGAGATCTTTATCTCTTCATATTAACTTTGAGTTACTGATTCTTTCATGTTACCTTGCATGACTCCCTTGCACATTTCTTGCCTGGTAGATCCTAGTGGTAATGAAATCCCTCAGCTTTTTAAAAATTATTTTTAAAAAATTTAAAGAACACGCAAGTGCGAGTGGGGAAAGAGCAGAGGGGGAGGGTGATGGAGGGGGAAAGAATCTTTTTTAAAAAAAAATATTTTATTTATTTATATGACAGAGAGATAGCACAAGCAGGCAGAGCATCAGGGAGAGGGAGAAGCAGACTCCCTGCTGAGCAGGGAGCCTAATGCGGGGCTCGATCCCAGGACCTTGGGATCATGACCTGAGCCGAAAGCAGCCGCTTAACCGACTGAGCCACCCAGGTGTGCCCCAAGGGTAAAGAATCTTAAGCAGCCTGACACAGTCATGACCTGAGCTGAAACTAAGAGTTGGATGCTTGACTGACTGAGCCACCAGGTGCTCTTGGCCTCTAAAGTTTCTGATGAGAAATACAATTTTTTTGAGGATCCCTTCCTTGTATGCGCTGGTTTGTTTCTCTCTTGCAGCTTTTAAGATTCCCTTTGTCTTTTGAAAGTTTATTTATAATGTGTCTCAGTGTGGGTCTCTTTGAGTTCATATTCTTTGGAGTTCATTGAGCTTCTTGAATGTTTATTATATTCATATCTTTCCTCAACTTAGGGAAGTTTTCAGTCATTATTTTTTGAAATATGCTGTCTGCCCCTTTCTCTCTCTCTTCCTCTGGGACTCCCACAATTCGTACATTGATCTGCTTGTTGGTGTCCCAGAGGTCTCTTAGGATTTGTTCACTGTTCCTTCAATCCTTTTTGTCAGTTTTTTTTTTTTTTTTAAGATTTTATCTATTTATTTGACAGAGCGAGTGAGCGAGAGAGAGTACAAGCAGGAGGGGAGAGGGAGAAGCAGGCTCCCTGCAGGAACCTGACTGTGGGGCTCCATCCCATGACCCTGCAATCATGACCTGAGCCAAGGGCAGATGCTAACTAACTGAGCCACCAAGGTGGTCCAGTCCTTTTTGTCAGTTCTTTAAACCTGATAATTTCCATTCTTGTATTTTCATGTTCACTGATTCTTCTCCCTACTGAAAAATGCCTTTGAATCCCTATAGTGAAATTTTCCATTCATTTTTTTACTTTCAGCACCAGAATTTCTTTGTGATTTTAATTAGGTTTCTATCTCATTATCAATATTTCCATTTTGTTAATATATTTTCACTTTCCTCACATCTTTCTTTAGTTCTTTGATCATCTCTAGGACAGTTGTTTTAAAGTCTTTGTGTAGTATATTTACCAGAAGGTCTTTTTTAGGGACTGTTGATTTTTTTCCCTTCAGATGGGCCATGCTTTCCTGTTTCTTTGTATGCTTTGTAATTTTTGTTGTTGAAAACTAGGCCTTTGAATCTAATAATACTGTAACTCTGGATAACGGATTCTCCTCCTTCCCCAGGTTTTCCTGTTTTTTATATTCTTTTTGTTTTGGATTGTTGTAGGCTGTCTGTGCTAAGGACTAGCCGGAGATGTAAACTTAAGATTTTTTTAAGGACTTTTCTAAGTCTTTTCCAGGGCATGCATTATCACTCTAATTTTCTTTGTTTATGTAGTTGTTTTTGTATGTCTTTAACATCGTCCAGGTCTTCCCCTAGTTTCAAGGCTATGATCCAGAGTTTCAAAATAGTTACATGAGACTGATGCTGCCAGTGTAATTGTTGTCTAGGTTGGGAGACCAGTTCCTGGTGCTTCCTACTTTGTCTTCTTCCCAGAATCTTCTTTTTTTTTTTTTTTTTTAAGATTTTATTTACCCATTTGACAGAAAGAGAGAGCAAGAACAGGAACACAAGCAGGGGGAGTGGGAGAGGGAGAGGCAGGCTTCCCGCGGAGCAGGGAGCCTGATGTGGGGCTCGATCCCAGGACCCCGGGATCACGACCTGAGCTGAAGGCAGACGCTTAACGACTGAGCCACCCAGGCGCCCCCCCCAGAATCTTCTATGTTTTGAAATCAGGAATTATCAGACTTCCAACTTTATTCTTTTTTTAAGATTGTTTTGGCTAGAGTCTTTTGTGACTCTTCTCAGGATTTTTCCACTTTTTCAAAATGCACCGTTGGAATTTTGATGGGGATTGTGTTGAATCTGCATATTGCTTTTAGTATTAATATGTTAACAATATTAAGTCTTCTAATTCATGAACATGGATATTTTTTCATTTATTTGTGTCTTCTTTAATTCCTTTCTGCACTGTCTTTTGAGTTCTCATAGTTTATTTTACATATATAATGGTTACCATTTACCACTTGGGTACGTTGGAGTCTTATTATTTTTCAAAGTATTTCATGTCATGAGTAATTTATATAAATAAGAATGAAGGGATGGTGAAGAACAGCTTTATTAGAAATTTTTATAAGATTTTAACATAGCAGACTTCTGTATCAAGTACATTTTGGCAAACGCATCAGAAAGATGAAAGACTACTATTATATGTTAGCAAAGTGAAATGGCAAGGGCTCTTATCACACTGTATTCTATGGTGAATTCTTTCCTGTTGAATAACTAACTGAATGAAAATACCTCATTTTTTTATGTTCTTAGAAATATGTCATTCAGTCATTAATTCTTAAGCTTGAGATTATTAATCTGAGCTATTGTCTAAAGACTCATAGTTTTAGACTTTATTTCTGATGAATTTCACCATCATTAGAGTCTAGAGGTGTGCTCAGGCTTTTTGCATTCTTGTTCTCATTTATTAATGAGATTTTTCTTGTCATTGCTCTGAGGAGCAGGAAATAAATTCTGAATTGTCCACTATATTTAATGAAAGCTTAAAAGACAACAGAGACCACTCTATGGTCTTTTATATCTTCTTGAAAGGTGATGCAACAGTTTGGGCAATGCAGTAAGAAAATTGAAAGATGGCTATTTCACTGTTGCATCACACTTCTTTTTTTTTTTTTAAAGATTTTATTTATTTATTTGAGAGAGAGAATGAGATAGAGAGAGAGCATGAGAGG